ACAGGTTCTTTGAAAAAATTAACTGAAAGATTTAATCATCAGAGGACTATAGTCCTTCCCAAAGCCTGCTATGAGTGGATGTTGCAAGATTTCAAAACTGTTAGTGAGTACAATGCTGAACTATTCAGATATATTTAAAACTAACATTGTGTGGAAAAAAAATCACTGATCAAGATATCTTGGGAAATTTTTTCCACCTTTCACACCTTGAATGTGCTCCGACAGCAACAATATCGTAAGTGTAGTTTCAAAAGGTACTCAGAACTCATATCTCGCCTGTTTGTGGCTGAACAAAATAGTGAACTGCTGATGAAAATCATAGGTTACGTCCAACTGGTTTTGTACCATAGCCTGAAGCAAATGGTACTGCATTTCTTGAAACAAATACAATATCAAGACGTAGACGTGGACGTGGACGTGGATGTGGACATGAATTGGGACGTGGACGCGGACGTGCACGTGGAAATGAATCATGACAAAAAAATCAACAAAATTATTAGCAATAAGGCAATAATTTCAAAAGGTACAAAACAAACGAAAGTAGTACATCCAAAAATGAGTATGAAGAAAGTTGCTTTAGATGTGGATGAACATGTACCTATCGTATGGCAAAATACCTTGTGGATCTCTATTAAAAATCAATCAAGGGAAATGAAATTGTGGAGACAAAGTTTGCTGATTATGATGGTCTAATTGATGTGACACATTTGGATGTCTCTGATTTCTTCGCTGATCCAAATGGAAGTATTGACCATTTGATTGTGGGTGATACAATGGAAGATATAAATTAGTTTACTTTTTAGTATTTTCTTTCATTTTAGAAATTCAATATAAATTATGTTCTTATTTTTTTGCAAAAAGTTGAAAGTTTATTATGTATTGTTAATTTTATAATACTGAATTATGTTTACTTTTTTAAATTTAAATTCAAGTTTTTTAAAAATATATTTGTTTTCTCATAGATCCACGATGGATTGTCAAGATATTTGTTTGATTAATAGTGCAACTGTACATACTATTCTTCAAGATAAAAAATATTTTTTGGACTTAACATTAGAAGAAAATAATGTTAATACGATATTAGGTGCATCGAATATCGTTAAAGGCTTCGAAAAAGCTTGTATTATTTTACCAAATAATATAAAAATATATATTGACGATACTCCTTATTCAAGCAAATCCAGAAAAATTTGTTTAGTTTTAAAGATATCAGTTGCAATGGATATCATATTGAGACGATACAAGGAAATAATGTTGAATATTTTTCCATAACTTCTTTTATATCTGACCAAAAGCAGATAAAAGAAAAATTTTATACACTCCCATTTAACATTTATTATACATTTATAAAAATGGTTGAATCAAATATTATCACAACTCAGAAGTTCGTTGATCCAAAAAATTTTATATTT